CTACTCCTGGGAGATGGCTGCAATCCCAGCAGCAAAATACAATTGGGTACAAAGCTCTTTAGAGGAAGCCAGTTTGTAGTGCGGCTCAATACAGCAATTGCATAGTCCAAGTTAATGCTGCTAATGGGCGCTGTACTGACTACAATCGATGCAAGCATCAAATCCTAATTGATTGCCGGCCTCTGCTCTCCTGCCCTTTTTTCTGGCTTTCAATTGCCAATGTTGTATTTAGTCAAGCAATAAAGGGATTTACTCTCTGTTGTTGTATAACTTTGTATTTGGAAAGGGGGAAGCTTGGAGGAGAAAAGCAACCCTGGCAGAGAGAGAGTAAAAAAGTGGGTTCTACCAACGTTTTTTACGGATAATTGTGTTTTTGTTAACGACCACGTGAGTCTCACATGGTTTTCTCCGTTCAAATTGAGTAATTTTCCGTTTTTTGACTAAATGTGGCAAAAAATCAGTAATTCAGGTACTCAATGTGTTCTGTTGAAAAGTTTGGGGACTAAATATGTCTTTGTGTTAAAGTTTAGGGATGAAAAATGGATTTTTCCCTAGATAAATAGCTATATTTACATGCTTTGTTATTTTTGTATTGAATTTCATAGACCTGATAATTGTTTGATACAAGTTAGTGTTTGTAATGAGGAAAATTAATTTCCTCTCTAATTATTTGTAGATGCATGATCGAGATAATGGTTCTTAGTTGTAGTAGTCAAACAAACAAATGCTATGTATAAATTTTCTATGTTTAAGTTTAGGGCTTGTGGGTTGAAATTTAGGATGGATCAAACAAACAATATTGAAAAACTTAATGCTAAAAAGTAATTTGGGAATCAAAAGGCAAGAAAAAGATATGTATTGTTATCAGTAGAAGAAAAAGATAAAGTACGATTGGAACAACAGAAAATACGCATAAAGCATTAAAAATTCATGTTCATTTTGTTAAAACTACTAAATAAAACAATGGTGAGTGTTCCTGATTGAACAACCTAATTTTGTTTGAAAGATTAAACTTAGAGGAAAATGATACATATGATAACACCATGAGTTTCCATTTGTATTAGACATTGAAAAGGAAAATAGGGAACCGTGCCGTTATTGCTCAATAAAAGAATCTAGCCAAGCACCAGAAAAATGTAATGCTAATTATGACAATAGAAAGCTTAAGGAATATATAAGTGTGTTTCACTTGATATCAAGTTATCAAACACTGTTAAGTTATTTGACCACACCACAGGTATCAATCCCCACGCTTCGCGTGGGACTTCCCTCTAATTTTGCTTATAAATGATACGTTATCATCAATATTAATGTTGTACTCGTTGATGCATGCGCTTATTTTTGTTACAGCTGGATTAGTCTTCCATAGCAAACTGGCACGTCTTTCTGGTCGGCCTTTGGATTTACGAGCAGCAGCTGATTGTGAAAAAGTGCTCTCAGCTTCTCTTGCAAAGATCGAGTCCGTTTGGCTCAAGGAGGAAGGACAATTTCTGCTGGGAAATTCCAAACCTTCTATTGCAGACCTGAGTTTGGTGTGTGAAACTATGCAACTTGAGGTAAAGAGATACAGAATGTCTTCTTTATCTCCTCATTTGCAGTCTGTTATTTAGTATATTATGAATTTGTTTATCAACTTAACTGTAGAAAAAAGTGTTATTAAAAATTAGGCTGGTACAATATAGGAAAGAATAAATATAAACTGAAAAGAAAGAAATGGGTGGAGATTGAAAATAAGAATCCGTGGCTTGTGAGCACAATTTCCTTAAAACAGATTCGCCCCCTACAGGTAGAGTGCTCGGGGTTAAGTAAGCGTCTATCTCTCAGAATACAACGGATTAAAGGTGAATATGTTAGTACCAAACTTCTTCACCACAGCGAACTCGAACTAGAGCAATATGGAACACGATAAAAGATGAAGATACAAAAGAATTAAAAAAAAATTGGAGAGAAAGCTCTGTTTCAAAATAAAATAAAAAGAGAGTTATTTATAGATGCTGGCTAAGGGTGATTGTAGAAATTTGAAACAAATGTTAAATTCCATTTAATTATCTTCACATTTATCAAAGTACCACATTCACGTACATACATGTATTCTCGATGAGAAAACTCCAAATTCATGTATTAACAATTACGTACATAAGTACTTAATTCCTAAGTACATGAATCTTCAGGTACATGAATGATAGATAATTATCCTTGGATTCTATCAAGAGTGCCATTATGAGAACGATTTTCTCATTCACTCTACAATGGATTTTTTCATTTTTCCAACAAAAAGATCAAGACATCATAGAGGATTCCAACTGAAAACCTAAATACTTCCATAACCTATCGACATTGTCTCCTCTGTTTCTCCAAACTTTTTAGTTATCCAAATGTCCTGAAACATTTATGTTTGGATCCTTCATTTTTTCAAAAACTAGTTTTTCAAATACTATAAAAATTTTAAAAAGTACTCTAAAAGGTGCTCTAAAAACTAGTCTAAAATTTTTTCATGTTTAAAAAATATTCTAAAATATATTTTAAAAACTCTACTACTCTTAAATATTTCAAAATATTTTCTAAAAATATTCCAAAATATACTCTAAAAACTCTGCTATAATAAAAATTTTTAAAAACACTCCTAAAAACAGCTAATCTAAACTGCGGAGATTTTTTTTTTTTTTTTTGAGATAGCATTTAATATCATTTGTATCAAGAGTTCTGCTACATGATAACTTGAAACTTTCAAAGAACAATAACCGTGTATAGAATCAAGTGTTCAGTAATGGGGTACGGAGAGTACCATCTTGTCCATATAATATGCAAAGGTTTTTATGAACAGCTAGATGTAATTGATTACAACTTCATTGTGGAATTTAGGCCTTGGATGAGAAGGTTCGTAAACGATTATTAGACCCACACGAGAAAGTTCGGAAGTGGATGGATGACACAAGGAACGCAACGCAACCTTACTTTGATGAAATTCATGGCGTCCTATTTCAAGTGAAAGACAAACTAAAGGAGATGGAGTCTGATGAGTGATGAGGCAAATTAAAATAAACTGACGTATAGTCTGCTTGAAATCCAACAGATGCGGCATTGCAGCTATCTGTTTAGTTCCCTCAGTATGATTTCCAGGTTCTTTAAACCTTGAACAACCATATGATTACGTGCAACGTTGTGTAAGTTTGAGTTACAGTACTTTCTTCTTTTATGTTTTGTTTTTTAACGTTTTGTTGCTGGACAAAAGATGTTAATTGAATAAAATCTGTGTTAGGTCTTTGGGGAAATCTTTTGTATGTGTGATTTCAAGAACGAGAAAATGATTGTTTAGAGATCCTACGTGTCCAGCGCTGGTTTTGTTGGTAGATGCCCTTCAAGCCATGAACACTTTCTCATGTTACCCACAACTAGCAAATTGCTTCACTGGCGCATGTATATAAAAGACTAAATTCCAGACTCTGGGAAGCTTGTAAATGTAGTATTATTGCTCGAGTGTGGATAATCTAGGAAGAAGAATTTTTGAAAGCTCATTTTTCTTCTTGTTTTTAGGGATTAATAGCAAATTAAGCCTAAATTGGACTACAACCCTTCAACAGTTAGAATGTTTACCCCCCAAAAAAATTCTAATATTAATAAAAGAACACCTCCAGAAAACCTACACTTAGAGTCTGTTTGATAATATAAAAAGGTGCTGAATCTGAATTTTTTCAGACATTCGGATGTTTTGAGTGTTTGATAAATGAAAATCCATTTACTGAATTTGTTAAGTAGTGCTGAACTTGTGTGTATTTTTTTCAGCACAAGAATCCTTACTGAATGCTTAATTCTAATAAAAATCAATAGAATCACTTCAACTATCTTATCTTATCTACCAAATCTACCATTGTTTATTAATTATATTCAAAATTCTTATCAAATTAAACAACTTAATATTCTCTATCTAATGATTTCTATTTCTCTTTTCTGCCTTTTTTAATGACTTTCACAAATTCTCCATACTCATCATATAATATATTTCATCTTTTATATTAATTTGATTTAAAAATAAATATTGTCATTTTCATACCTAACAAATTTAAGTTAATTAAATCATAGGTTCTATTTCTTTTTTGGATGAAAAGATATAAGGGCAAAATTGTTAAATTTAACTTATTAAGTATTCAGTTATAAATGTTTTTCAAACAGTATAAATAGGTTCAGCATTAAAATTCAGACATTCATATATTTCTTTTCAATGCTTAAAATTCAATAAATTAATTATTTCAGTATTTAGATTTCATAATTCAGACTTCAAAATTCAGATTCGACTTTATCAAACGGAACCTTAGGCCCTATTTGACAATTTAATTTAATATTTAAACTTAATAGATTCAGATTTTAACATGTTCACATGCGTTTGATAACAAAAAATAAGATATCTGAATTAATTAAATTGTATTAAATTTTTTTGATAAAACTTGTTCTAAAAAATAGGTGATAAGTTATTTACTTGTCATTTATGTGATATTTACTCAAATGTATCAAATTTAGATCTTATTTGATAAATCAACTCAATACTTATACTTAATGAATCTAGATGCACTTGATAACAAAAAATAAAATATCTAAATTAATAATTAAGTGGTACTGAATTTTTTAATCAAAGCTTGCTCTAAAAAATAAGTGATAAACTATTCACTTATCATTTAAATATATTATATTTAGTCCTTAATAATTCCATATATTAATGGATCCAGACTTTGATTTTCAAATTTCAGATTTTAGTTTTGAAATATCAGTTTTATCAAACGCACCATTAGTACTTAATAATTCAATAGCTTAAAGGATTTAAACTTCAAATTTTGTATTTCAGATTTTAATTTTCATATTTCAATTTTATCAAACGTGCCCTTAATGAATTTCTCTAATCCCAAATGAATAATCAATTATCATAAATTGTGTAATGATTATAACCGCATAAATCCAATCAAATTTTTTTAAGAGATCAAAAAGGCTCCAAAAAAAGGGAAAATGATAAAAAGATTGATTCCGAAAAGACAGAACATTTTTCGAATTCATTACCAATCAAAAAATGTTAGGCATTGTGCAATTGTTGCTTGAGAGATTTGGAAAGATCCTACAAGAAAGCGAGAGAGATTAGAAAATGGGAGGAAAAAAAGTTATTAAACGATTGTTCATAGTTCAGAGATGGATAATTGTGCTGCTGGACTCAGCCTAGATTTTTTTTCTTAAGGCCCATCTATAAATTGAGGACCCAAATTGCAGACGGCTCTGTCGTCCACCGTTCTACAGGCCCAATACCCTTTGTGCCACGAGGTCCCACTTTATCTGCATTCTCCTTTGTAACTCCACCGTGCAGCTGACTTCTTCCTCTCCGGTTATCTGTTCCTCTCTCAGAAACAAAGCCAGCAAAGTTCAAAACTTTGTCTCATCATTCATTACGTTCTCCGTGTATATACCAGCGTGTGTTAGTGCGTGAGAAAAGAAAGAAACTGTAGCAAAATGAAGTTGAAATTGTATGCAGATCGTATGTCTCAACCGTCACGTGCGGTTCTCATCTTCTGCAGGTAAATTTATTCATTGCCTCCCTAAATTCAACTTTTCTAATGCCTTGCTCCCTTTTTCTTGTTCTTAATTAGATTTTCCTTGGTTCTGGGGCTTATATGTGTAAAGGGTAAATGGGATAGACTTTGATGAAGTTAAAGTTGACATTTCTAAACGCCAGCAATTAACTCCTGAATTTGCAGGTTAGTTTTCCCTCAAGAAATCTTCTTTAAATGGTGGATAGTGACAAAAATTGTTTGTTTTTTTTCTTGTTATTGTTTTTGTTTAATATTAAAGTTTGGCTATGATGCTGTTTCAGAAATCAATCCCATGAAGAAAGTACCAGCGATAGTCGACGGAAGATTTAAGCTCTTTGAGAGGTAGTATTATAGAGTGATATTAATTGAATGCACCATGAGATGGATTTAGGATGATATGCTTCTAGTTCTAGTTCCAATTCCACGTTTTTGCCTTTAGGCCCTGGTTAAGAAATTTATATACTATGAACTATGCACCAAAAGAAAAGGATGAATGTCATGGGGAGCATGACGGCCGATGATCTTGATTCTTGAGTAAGAACTCAACTTCTTTAGGCTTATCAATCATTATTAGATAGTAATGCATTTCAGAGTTTAGGAGTTGGTTACTTGTTGCATTTTACATGGCCTAGTTTCCCCAAAGATGCAAGTATAAGAAGCAGAAGGGGCTACTGAGTGTGATATTCTCTATTTTGTCGGTTTCTCTTTCATTGATTTCCTTTTTTTAACTCCCATTATGATCTAGGATTCCTTTACCTGCTTTTCAAAATGAGTTTTATTCATTGGGATCTCTTCTTTTCAGTCATGCAATTCTTCAATATCTGGCTTCTGCTTTTCCTGGAGTTGCTGATCATTGGTAAGTCTGGTGTTTTGAACTCCGGGTTACTGGTTAGAGATCTCTCACATTAAAATTCATGTTTCGTGCAACTATAAGCATCAGTGACAGGGATCAGAAATATATTTTAATTCCTAAAAGAAATGTTTTTTGGTCGGAACTTATAACTCAAACTTTGAATCAAATATGTTACAGGACCTTGAAACCTGACCACTTCTCACAATTTCTTTTAATTCTTCACCAGCCTGACATCCTCTATAAATGTGATCTGTTTGTTGGTTTTTTCCTATGGCTTTGGCTGTACCACTTTTTACAATTTGTTGCTAATCAACATAAGCTAGAAATTACTGCCACAATTTTTTTATATCATGTCTTCATTCAATGCTTTTATCCTAATTGTAGAATAACCTTGCATCTTCTAACCATTTGGCATTGGGCGTTGTCAATGGATATTCCTGATCATCTTTCTGTTTCCTCTTCCTATTGGAAGGTATCCTGCAGACCTCTTCAAAAGAGCAAAAATCAACTCGGTTTTAGATTGGCATCATTCGAATTTACGCCGTGGTGCAGGTACCTTGTCTTTAACTTTGGCCATGTATTGAATTCGTAAGATTGCTTTCTCTTTGTTTGCTTGGTTATCTTTTAAGGAGTTATGGTACAAAATCTTTCAAGTCCAAATCCAACTTGAGCAGAACAATCTAGCAATAAATCCCTGAATGTTAATCTTCATGATTGAATTTGAGTAGGTATGTAATATGTTATGCCCTCATCAGAATCCATCAATGGTCTCAATATGATATGCATGAATCATCGTAATGTTAGTCTTGCAACCCAAATAATTTGCATAAGGTACCCAACCAACCATAGTAGGCTACAAGATGATTGTGGGTCCTTCCTTCTTATCATGTCAAGGCTGCTAGTCCTTATGAAGGGAATTTGGAGGCTTAATAATGTATGGATACCTGTTGATTAGGCTGAGCACTTTTTCTGTTAATTATGCAAAGTAAAAAGAAAAGTTTTTTTGAAGAATTGGGGATCTTCCAATGATGGCAAGTCACGTTAATTGCAATATCTATACTGTCTCTAACATTAAGCAGTTGTTGATGCCAGACCCTTGCTTCATTAGGATAATGACCTTAAAGCTGTTTTATGTTTACAGCTCCACTTGTTCTTAACAAAGCACTTGCTCCTGCACTTGGTCTGCCTTTGAATCCAAAAGCAGCAGCTGAAGCTGAAATAATCCTGTCAGCTTCTCTTGCAAAGATAGAATCCTTTTGGCTCAAGGGGAATGGGCGGTTTTTGCTGGGAAGCTTGCAACCTTCCATAGCAGACCTGAGTTTAGTCTGTGAAATTATGCAACTGGAGGTAAACAAAGATGTTATTTTCATCGTGTTAATTTATTATTTTTGAATTTCATAGAACATTATTTACCACGTTTTCAGCCAAATCATTACTTGACCAAAATAGTAATTCTTCTAAATGACAGATATTATCCTTGTAGTATTACTAAGTCTAGCTAGGTACTTTTTACAATCTAATGTCCAGCCTAGAAATGCACCGGTGCTATAAAAATATGGAATGGGTTCTTATTTTTGAATGAGATACTATGACGAAGCAACAATGTACGTCAATGGAGCTCTAGTTTCACTGCTTATTGAGCTGATGGCAGCTTTTGTGTGTTTTGACGTTACGTAAATCGCTTCCCCATGGATGCATGCAGAGTTCATTAGCGCTAGTCATGAATATAAAACTTGGTGTCTGCAACCTCCCCTGTCTTGTACTCGAGTGACTTTGTCTTTACTCCTCTCAACACTGTTTCAGCATTTTTTTTCCTTTTCTGATGCTGTGAACAGTTAAGACCTTATAGAAATAATATCAACTAATATAATAATTTACCAGGTGTTCTCGTGCTTCTGGTTTGTAATCTCTTCTAGTCAGCGGTACTGTGCGGGAATTTCTTTGCCGCACAGTCGAGCTTTCTTAGTTTGTAGCTTTATTTTCTATGATTATGTTTTCTATAAGTAAAATTGTTGTTGGGAAGCTCCCCCGGCTTTTTCTTTTCTCCTCATTTAGATGAGCTTGATTGATAATTTAACTGTAAAAAGCTTATACTATAGTAAGCTTAAATTCCAACTCCACCCTTCCAATGTAGGTCCTGGATGACGAGGTTCGTGCAAGAATTTTAGGCCCACACAAGAAAGTTATCAAGTGGATTGATGACACAAGAAATGCTACTCAACCTCATTTTGATGAGATGCATGCCATTCTCTTCAAAGCAAAAGAGAAGCTATTGAAGATGCACTCAGATGCAGGCAGTGATCAGACAGAAAGTAGCAGAAAACCAGCTTTGCCTTCAAAGATCTGAGAATGCAGCTCTAATGGTCAAGTAGCGTGTCATTTTCTGGTTGTATGTCAGCCAACAAGCCGCCGGATCTGGTATGTAAAAGGAAATCCAGAATGCAGACATGCTGTTGTCAGTCTCTGGGTAATAATTCGGTTATTTCTAAGGATCTTAACACGCCCTATGCTTGAACTAAAGCTTTTTGTGTTCGTTGTACACATAGTAGCTAGTGCAATAACGTGATTCGAATATCTTCTTACCTTGTGATACATGATTCTTGTCTTTTACCCTGTTATCTTGTCTTTTGTTAATATAATTACCACTTCAGAATCTTGTAGCAATCGGCAACATCTCAGATGAAAAAGAAAGCAGACTGACAATATTTACAAGTTTCTTTATACTTTAACTACAACATAGCCTGGAAATCAGACGCATGATGGAAAAGTTATCCACAATTGAGGAAGCGGGAGATATCATAGTTCTTATATTTGTTTCATGCATCTTCACTCTACAGTTAATCCTTGCAACTCCAGAGCATCTAACTTCTTAGGTCTCCGATAGTTCTTCAACAAAAGGGAGCAGCAAACAACAGTCAGAGAAGAAGCTGCCATTGCAGCCCCAGCAACCCATGGGGGTAAGCAAATTCCTGTAGACGGAAAAAGTGCCCCAGCAGCAACCGGAATGGCAATGAGATTATATGCCAAAGCCCAAATATAGTTGAGGCAAATTCGACGAAAAGTGTACCGAGAAAGGTCTATGGCAGTAATTACATCCTCCAAATTGCTTTTCATGAGAACTATGTCAGCTGCTTCAATAGCTATGTCTGTACCAGCACCAATTGCCATTCCAATATCCGCTGCTACAAGTGCTGGTGAATCATTAATTCCGTCTCCCACCATTGCCACAACAAAGTTCAAAGCCTGTGAACATGTCCAAATCATGAGAACAATGTCTAATTAAAAATGTGGAATTCTTTATAAATAATTGAGACTGTGGGACTAGGAGATGGCTCTAACTAGGTCATTTGTGACTTATCATCCATCTATAATTTTACAACGGTAAGAGCATTATTGTTTACTGAACCAACGCCTGGTTTGTACCTGCAAATCCTTCACTTTTTCTGCTTTCACCTCTGGTTTGGCCTCTGCAATGACAGTGCCAATTCCAACTTCTTTGGCAACGGCATGAGCAGTTCCCCAGTTGTCACCTGTAACCAATATACTCTTGATTTGCATGGAAGTGAGAATGGAAATGACTTCTTGAGCTGCGGGTTTCACTGGATCAGATATTGCAACAACTCCAACTAGCTCATGATCAATTGACACAAGAATTCCAGTCTGAGCAAACCCTTCTGTTTCCTCCAGAAAATTTTCAGCACTAACTGGAATTGCTACATTCTTTTTTAACATTAAGCGCTTGTTTCCTACAATTACTTCCCTATTTCGAACAACAGCCATCACGCCCTGCCCTGTTATTGACTCAAATTGCTTCACTTCGGGCCAGACATTGCTCTCTTCTTCTTCTCTAAATTTTTTTGCATATTCAACAATTGCCTTGGCTAAAGGGTGCTCGCTGTTCACCTGATGAATCACAATGGACCACTAAATGTCAAGTCCAATTTTGAGTTCTGTTATTTCTAACACTGAATTTAATCAAGCAGCATTAAAGCAAATTAGAGTAGTCATGAATAGGTAAAAGTTTACCTCCACAGCAGCAACCATTTCATAAAATTCTCGACGTGCCATACTTTTCAAAAGTCTCGTCTCGACAACCATTGGCTTGCCAATTGTGAGAGTCCCAGTCTTATCAAAAACTATACACTCTACCTGTTAAATCATGCAGATATTTAATGTGAAAGTTTATGAAGCATTATGAAAATCTTTAGCGCTAGGATATATCCAGTTTTCATCGTTGGAATTGGATTGGTTTTCCTCCAATTAGCACGATGAAATTATAATTACCAGCTTCTAACCTTATGTGCACTTTCTAATGCCTGACCACCTTTAATCAGGACACCCTGAGAAGCACCAACTCCAGTACCAACCATAACAGCCGTTGGAGTGGCAAGGCCAAGGGCACATGGGCAGGCTATTACCATGACAGAAATGCCAAATTGGAGGGCAAGCTGGAAGCTATCCATAGAGGATGGAATCAAAGATTTTGGGTAGGCATTAAGTTTTCCAGCTAAAAACCAGGCAAGCCAAGTTGAAAATGAAAGAAAAACAACCTGTGTAATGTGAAACACAGAGAGTTGTTAAAATTCCAAAAATAAAACTCAAGCTACTTCCAGTTATTCTTGATGTAGAATAATGTGTGAAAGAATCCCAGATTTGGAAATAGCTATACACTTACAAGAGGTACGAAGAACTTTGAGATACGATCAGCAAATTTTTGCACGGGAGCTTTAGCCATTTGCGCTGACTCAACAAGTCGAACTATCTGGGAAAGAGCGCTTTCTGATCCAACCTTTGTTGCCATTATATGTAGCGCCCCATTCTCGTTGAAAGTTCCTCCAATGACCGCATCGCCCTTCCTTTTTATGACAGGTCTAGGCTCTCCAGTTATCATGCTCTCATTTACATTACTTTCTCCCCAGATAACAAAACCATCACAAGCCACTTTTGCACCAGGAATGATTTTAATCACATCATTCTTTTGTATTAGTTGACTCTCTATTTCTTCTTCTTTTGTCACATTGCCTTCATCATCAAGGGTTAACAATATTGCTGTCTCTGGAGCCAAGTCCATGAGCTTGGTGATGGCCTGACATGTTTTGCCCTTTGCCAGAACCTCAAGATACTTGCCAAGTAAAATGAATGAAATAAGCATTGAACTGGTCTCAAAAAAATCAGTAGACTTAAAATTTGGGGAGCTTGCAGCTCTCAATACTGAGTATACCGAATAGAAGTATGCTGCATTTGTTCCCAGGGCAACCAGAACATCCATGTTTGGGGAACCATTACGTAATGCTTTATAAGAGCCAGCATAAAATCGCCGGCCTATTATGAACTGCACTGGTGTAGACAACGCCCACCTCAAAACCTCTCCAATGCTGAGCATGTTAACAATTTTCATATCTAGTCCATCCTTGAGAACTGGGATGTACATGAAGATCATGGAGGTCAAGAAAACAGGAATGCTAAAAACCAAGCTCCACAGCAATGAATTGTAATGCTGTATGATTTCTTCTTGCTTATGGGTTCCTCTTCCTCCCCTCTCAGGAAATATCGTTGCCTTGAACTGTCCTGATCCAGTTGATTCAATAACTCGAATGAAATTTCTTGGTCCTGTTACATCTGCTAGATATGAAATGGATACTTTATGAAGCTCAGCCTCGACCTGTATATCCTGTATTCCTGGCTGTCCTTCGAGAGAGCTTACTATCATTTGCACGTTATTTTCATTACATAGTCCATCAACTTTGAGCTGTATTTTATTTCTACTCTCCCCTGTACCAACGATAATGGCTTCAAACCCTATATCATCTATCGCCTGCAAGAGTTCTTTGCAGCTTAACAACTTGTGATCACATTTCACTTCAGCCTCTCCTGTTGCTAAAGCAACTTGGGCTCTCTGTACACCAGGAACAAGCTTTAACACGGATTCAACAGCACCGGAGCAAGAAGTGCAAGCCATTCCGACAATCCTTATCCTGCATACCCAAATACATTTCTCGTTTGCCGTTTCCTCTATTAATGTAGCCTTGAATCCTATGTCTTCAATGGTCTGACGGATTGTTTCCTCCTGAATGTTGATGGACAAGATTGTCAAGCATCTTGCAAACTATACTCTAGAAAACGAGCAAATTGGAACACAATGCTCTTGGTCTCCTTATATAAGTGTCTACAAGTAAACGGGGTCTGGCGAGAGTTTGTGTAGCATATCCAACACGCAATTGTTCCCTTTAAATCCCTGATTCTAAATTTTACTTAACTTTTTTCTTTTACAAGTAAAAGCTATTTAAATAACGTTTAGATGCAATTCTGACCAGTGATTTATCCTATTTTAAGTTGAAAAAAGTTATCACAAACCATTTTGGCTTTCCAAAAAAAAAACAAATCTTTCAAATCCTATAGAAATACGTTTCAGAATAACGTGGTGCAGCTAGGAATTTAGATGCTTCATATTACTTAGAATTTAGACGTTAGTTCCAATTTCCTCTCTCTAAGACTTCACCTCTCTGTTCTATAAGAAAGTTTATATTCAAATCCTCCCCCTTTTATCCCACCCCCTGATTTCCAAATGAATTACTTCACTTTCTTTTCAAGGATAATGCTACAGTGCGGATCGTTACCAGAACTTGTGAATATTTTATATTAAAATACTGATACAACCGGTTGATTGTGGTTCCCACATCCAAGATTGGTATATTTAGCGACAATTGCACGAATGTTCATTCAGGTTTCCAATATTCAAAGTAACATCAGGTGATAATATGGTAACTTTGTTAATTAAATTGGTAAGTTATAAGTGTGATATGAAATTTACCCTTTAATACTTCTCCAACGAAACTTACTACTTTATAATTAGTAAGTTTAATTCAAATAATAGTGAGTTTTTATTGACAAATGGTATGTTTTACAAATAAAATGGTAAATAGGTGAATTGTTCAAACTTGCTACTTTATTTTACAAGCTTACCATTTTACTTAAGAAAGTTACAACAATTATATTTAGTAAGTTTAATTCAAATAACAGTAAGTTTTTTGTTAAAAAATGGTAAGTTTTACAATTAAAATGATAAATTGGTTAATTGTCCAAACTTGCTACTTTATTTCACAAACTTACCATTTTACTTAAGAAAGTTACAACAATTATAATTAGTAAATTTAATTCAAATAATGGTAAGTTTTTGTTAAAAAAAATGGTGAGTTTTACAAATAAAATGGTGAATTGGTAAGTTTTACAAATTTACTACTTCGTCTTACAAACTTACCAATATATTTGTGAAACTTACTTAAAGATAGGTTAGTAAATTCTTTACAATTATAGTAAGTTTTGGAAGGTAAATAGAAAGTTTGTGCATTAAAAAGGTAACTTATATGGATGACTATAACTTACTACTTTATTGTCCAAACTCACCATTTTACTTGAAAAACTTACATGCAGCTAAATCAGTAAGTTTAATGAGATCAGTAGTAAGTTTTGTCAGATAAATGTTAAATTTGGCTAATAAAAAGGTAATTTTTGAAATTTACTTTTTTATTGTACAAACTTACTGTTTTACTTGAAAAACTTACATACAACTAAACTAGTAAGTTTAATCAAAATAATAGTAAGTTTTGTTAGAAATGTAACTTTTGAAATTTGCTACTTTGTTGGACAAACTTTCTAATTTACAT